TTTCTTATTTATTTATTTTTATTTTTACTTATTTATTTTATATTTTTTTTTTTATGTCGGCACTTGTTTCTCTTAATGTAAAGTAAAAATTTAATTTTTAATGAATTAACAACTTACCTAAATTTGAAAGTTTAACCGTTGAGCACTGCAAATAGAGAAAATGAAAAAGGTATTTTAGTTGCAAGTCTTCGAATTAAAATTAAAATTGTTCCCCATTAAGCTGGCTTTAAGAGAAATGCGCTCTTGGGCACAAGCTTAAGAGCTGGCGCTGGTTAATGGCCACGACATTGTAGGTGCTTAAAGCGCGACAATTACAAAAAGTTCTCACAGTCATTAAGGTCGTGAAGCATCGCTGGTCTCTTGTTTACAATTTGTTTTCTATACTATCCTATATATGTATATGTGCTTACATATGTATGTATGCATGTGCATAGTATATGCACGCACACACACAGACAAGGCAGACATGCAGCTGGCCTGAGTGCTTGGTGCTTGAGTGCTTCTTGAGACGCTAAAAGCTCAAGTGTGGCTTTGAGCATAGCTGAAAGCTCACTCAGCCTATGCGACAAAGTTTACTCTCAGCTTAAACATGGCTTGGCAACAAAGTTCAACGAACTTGAATAGCTTCTTTATTTGTTTTACCTTCACATATTTAAATCTTTTTTATAACCGCCCACAGAAAATGTTCAGTTTTTATAGGGTAACTTTACCACTGTAAAATTTCACGCCCATTGCTCAATAAAAAACCAATTAGCTAAGGGTTGCAGCATCCCTGCCACTATTCGCAAGTAAATAAATAATCAGAATAAAAAATCCGTCCAGGCGACAGATATTTTCAAGTGCCTGGCGCAAGTCTTAAATGCAATTAAAAACAATTTAGCCGCTTAGATGCAATAACCGTTAGATTGCTCTAAAAAATAATAGTTAAATTGAGAGCCGTTCCTTCTGCGGGGAGGGCACCGCCGGCATTATCAGCCATTTAATTAAGGGCGACACACTGAGGCGTGAGAACCAGCAGGCGGTGCGCATTAAATAGATTATCGTCCTGTAAGTGGTGCTCGAGTGTCTACGCCACCCCACTTATGTATGTGATAGTAAATGTGTAAAATTTAGCTCTTGCCTGAATCAATATTTATTATTGCCATATTTGATGACGAAATAGGCTACTAATTCATTTCAAATTAGTTTTATATTAGCTAACTTTATTACCCCTACTTCAATGCCAACTTGTGCACGTTCATCTTCGCTGTCCTAAAATTAATTTAGGACAAATTCATTTAGAAAATACGTTCATGAAGAAAATGTCTATTATTTTAACGTTACAACCATATACTATGTATATGAAATATAACAAATGTTAAAATATTGCAAAATTAAACACATATCCAAAAGTTGAAATGCAAAAAATAAGGTATCTAATATTTGAAACATCAAAATATGATATGGAAATACATATTTCAAAAATATAGTAATAGTTATTAATTCCAATTCTAATACTTAAATGCACTCAACGGGATTATAAATATGTTGCATACTTTTGGGCAAGCGTAAAAAATAAATGCGAAGAAAGGACGCAATGTTCCTTCTAAAAATAAAATATGTGTGTATATTTTATAAACATACATAACAATATTTCTCTAAATAAAACATTACGTAGATTATTCTGCCAATTATAGGCAACTCCATAAATTCATGATAAACAGTCATAGATTTCAATGATATCGAAATCATTTACTTGAATATATTTAGAATTATGAATTCATATAAATCTTTATATATATCTCTCATA